CATTAATAAAAAACAAAAAAAAAAGAATCTTTTATGAAATATTTCTCATAGGAAAAATATTCCAATGAGTGAAGTTAGTCATTGGTTTCGTATAATCGTTGTTAACACAGTATGTTACATTAAAAATCTTTGTTAAATTATTTTTTTAAAACATATTTTATATATAGATTTTAGTATTCTTCATGATATTTTTAACAACACCATCAATTGTAATGAGTACAATTGATAAAATAGCTAATAAATATCGTTCAATTGATCCATTAAAACGAGTAACAAAACAAATACATTTTCCAGTTGTATTAACATCTGTAATGCCTGTTTTATTATTACGTATATTTGCTGCTGCAATGCCATCACTTGTTAGTGTAACATCGTTACTTGAAAAACAATGGAAAAAATCTGCATTAGATAAATCAATGATGATTAAATTATTTGTTTTTCTTTCAATGATGATACTTATTTTACCATCATTAGGTTTAACAAGTATTGAAGGATTTCTTCGATGGGTTTTTGAAAGTGAAGATGGTATTTCACAAAATAGTAGAATTCGTTGGATGTAAGTTTAATTTAATCAAGAATATTTCTATTAGTTTGTTTTTTGTGAAACATAATCCAAAAAGGGTGTTAAAGTCTATCGGGTAGAAATTTGGACTCATGCCCACTTCCTGCACACAAACTGTGATAAACGGCTTACGATGGATCTATCGCAACTGTAATCTGCCGTTCGAACTCATACTGGATTCATAAGGAGGCCTCGGTTAGATTAGAAAAATCCTGTAAGAGTTCGTGCCCATGGACCCGAGTTATGATTGTTTTACTGAGTTTTCAATTCATTTTTAGATATTTATTGAAAAAATCAGATAAAAGAATTTCGATCTGAAATTCAACCTATAGATAAGTCTAATGACCTTTAGAATATTCTTAAATTTTCAACCGAACAGAATGTTCCTTTGTCGAGATATTAGAATTTCCTACAAATAGTCGCTTGGCAGAGACATATCACGAAAAATCGAGTTTACTTGAAAATTTAATATCTCGACAAAGGAACGTTCTTTGTGGCTGAAACTTTGAGTACTTCCCAAGAGTCATTAGACTCATCGATAGGCAAAATTGCAGATCGAAGTTCTTTTATCTGATTTTCCAATAAATATCTAAAAATGGATCAAAAATTTAGTAAAAGTCATAAATCGACTCCAGGAACTCATGGGCACGAACCTTTTGTTTTTAAACGAGACCTCATTGTAGGCTCAGTACAAACTCAAACGACACATTATAGCTCGGGCAATTCCCTCGTTAGCGAAGATATATCAGAGATATGTTGTGCCGTGGAAAGTTCAAAACCAAAAATTTCGAAAAAAAAATGATATTTCTAGTAAACGGTGACTCTCAGCACATGTAGTTTTTTATGGTTGAGATGTGAATGAACAGAAGATCTAATCCCACAGGCACATCCTCGATTGCGACAATAGTTGGGTTACCGAGCGAAAGTGAAATGGGTAAGCAAATATTTTTCTTGTGTGTTTAGTCTTAATTGGCGAATTGTTTTTATTGATTTCAAGATATTCGATTTAACAAAACACGTCGATCTATCATACCCACTAGAGCTCATCGAATCCGAAAAAATTTGGACCCGGATTCGAACCCGACTGATTAAAATTTGTTGGGTTCGGACCTAGTTGATCAAAATTATTGGATTTGTACATAATTGATTGATATTTTGTGGGTAGAACTCATCAGATTCCGGGTAGGACTCGATAGACTTTAAACACTGTATATGAATACCGTCTAGTTATAATATATGAACTGGTTTCTTATTGCATTTCTGGAGAATTAAGCAAAAGGCTGGTGAAGAAATGTGTTATAGAATAGAATAATTTCCCTGTGGTTAATAACAACAGATACATTGTGTTACAAATTTTAATCACGTAGAGTTTGCGTTAACAACTTTTTTTTTCTTTATTGAATAGGTGTATGTTTTTACCCGACAATGGAGCATTTTTTGTGAATTATATAATAACATCAGCATTTATTGGAGCTGCTATTGAATTATTACGTTTAGCTGATCTTATCTTTTATATTTATATAATTCTAACAGCTAAATCAACAGCTGAAAGACGTGTTATTCGACATGTAAGAATGAAATTTATTGGTTTTTTTTTTTATTAATACTATTATGATAAATATGAACTGATAAAAAATTTTAGGCTCTTCAATTTCCATTTCGTTTTGGTGTAC